ATGCTAATGATTCAAAAACACCACATTCTTCAGTTGGTGGCATAATATCATGATTAAAAAGGTCCTCAAGAAACTGTAGATCAATTGATGTATGGCCTTGAATAGATCCTCGATGATGTTTCGTTAAAAACTCATTGGATCCATTACTACAGCCAATATATGGTGGAAATTCACCATGGACATTCTATGACTAGTTAGAAATCACTTGGAGCATTGTAAAAAGATTTAACCAACCATTTGGGTATGCCGCTTAAAAACTGGCTTGCAAGTTGGAAGCTGGTCAATGCATGCATAACCCTTATTGAAAAATTCATTTTTTGACCGATAATAGCTAGAAGTACTTAGTAATTGCTTCAAAGCTGTTTAGGAGATGTTTAAATACCTGTATGCATTTCGTTTTCCAATATTTGCCTCCAGGATTTGGATATTCCTCTGAGTATTTCGAATCACATCCCAACAATCCTCATCAACAAATGTATGATGATAGGATTGAAGAAATGGATTCAAAAATTCACATGCGTAGATACCAGAGCATTTCCAAGTCCATCTTTTAACTAAACAGTTGAAAAATGGGCATTTGACTGGTCTCCTTGGTCCATGTTGTTGACGCCGTGAGTATTGAATCTGTAACTGATTAGCAAGCACTTTAAAAGCAGTTAGAAAGTACTTAACAGTACCTCATGAACAAGCTGCTCCATTTCATTCTGTGATCGCCCTCTAGATGCAACAACATATGAATATCCATGAATATGACTTGTCGGATACTCTGGTAAGTCATCAATATATTCAATTTTTGATGTCTGGAGAGAATGGCTTTTTGAATTTGTGAGTTGTACAGGAATGCCCTATTTCCGCATTGAGCCGTTAGCAATCAGTTAACAAATACTCTATCAAAATAAATACCTCAACATTGGGATCAGTCTCTGGACTTGATGAAGTAAAATCTTCTAAATTGAAGATTTCAGGTTGAGGATCCATAGTAATGAGAAGATCAACGTATACTTTAAAAATCACATACAACTGTAACATATAAGAAGAAAATTGAAATTGAAATTCAGAGTAATGGGTATTGTATTTGAATAGGTCGCGTGTCACGTCCTCGCTGATTAATGGTCTTGGCGGTCGTAAGTGTCACGCGTCCACGTTTTTGAGGTGGCGTGATCTGTGGACACACATTTTAAAAAGGCCGTGAGTTGTTATCGCTTAATAATGATCTTGGCGGTCACGTGCTGAGGGTGTGGCTCACGGCAGCTCTTTGAAAGGGTCGCGTGAACTGTGTACACATGCGGAAATGGTGGTTTTGGAGACTATGGCCATGCCTGAGGCATTATGCATTGCGTGGCTTCCGAAAGCGGTCTGAATATATCGAGGCGAAATCGATGCCCCGTCCCCAAGTTCTACAACAGCCCTAAGCACGAAGGACATTCGAGAAACATGAAGGAAATGTAACAAGCCAACTACGGACTACATTCATCTCAAATTCCGGGACCAAAATGCAACAAATGTAATCTTATTCACTAAATACGTTACAACCGCCAATAACCAATCTCCACGTTGGCACATGCCACATCTCCTTCAAAAATTCATTACTTACTAGCCTTGTAAGCACCCTAAGACTAGCCCGGAAGTTGCTGTGAGCCGTTATCACTGTCCCACACCGTAGTTATCCTATTTGACCATGCTTATAATGTAGATCTTAACTTGCAGGTACACATTGAGCCGTCTGACATACAAGGCTTGCTGTCGAGAATAATAGTCGAGGACGGAGAGGACGGAGAGCGAGCGGACGTGCTATCAACATATATACAATCGACTTCGTATAGGTCTTCCTGTGTCAACAGCCAGCATCGACTGTCCGGATGATTCATTGAAAGTAAAAAGTGTAGATTTACCCCATTTTAATGCGCGTCAGTATCAAGAGCTAGCTGCCCCAGTGCATGTCCCTTTCCGTACTACGTCATTTCCTGAATGGACTTGTCCGCGATATCCTGCGGCAAAGTGTTGTCCCAACTCTGAGATGTGATGATATGAACGACCGAGTCACGTCAGGAGGGTTCGAGGCATTATCCATAGCCTTTTGGCTGGCTGTTAATGTTCCAGAGAGGGTTGGGTTGGAGATGCCATTCTATACTTGTCAGTAATGTTCCGACTTATGTATTCGTGAATGAATACTTACAGGCTTACAGCCAGTGCGAAGCTTTTGGGTCAATCCTCTCAAGAGTCTCGAGTCACGCAATTTAGGTAACACTTGATGAACACGAGCGACAAATCTCCACCAGCTTTTGATGGGCGTGCTGTCCTTAGTTGCGATATTATATCTAGTCAATTCTATTGACGGAATGGGGTACACCTTGACCGTGGCATTGAGGCTCACACCAAATGTGCCTCCGCCGCCTCCGCAGATTGCTCAAAAGATATCTTCGTTCTGGGATTTATTAGTAGTTAGGACCTCGCTTATTGGTGTGAAAGTGACGACTTCCAGGATGCTTTCGGCGCTTTGTCCATACTGTCTGGTCATCAATCCGTGTCTGCCGCCTGTGGCCCAGCCGATGAATACGACATCTTGCGTTTTGAATCATTCGCTACATTCCTCTCTTCCCTCATACTCTGGCTTACTATATTTGTTTCTCCAGCTGTGATGGCCTTATTATCAGCCATTACTTTGAATAGTTTGCCATCCTGTACGCCGGTACCAATGGTTGCCACCATACGGGACTTATTGCAGCCGCATGACTTTGGTGGTTTCCACGGAACTTTATTTAAGTTGTGTGTCCAGAAGCTGTCCAATTGTCGGTGGGGAATGATACATGTATCGAGGCTGTACGCACGATAAACTCCCACGGGCAATACTATAAACGGTTAGCTAATATCAATTGAAGTCAAGATATATCTAGGACGAACAAACCACTTTTCCGGTTTATGGCCCGTATTCTTAACATTGAACCGAATGTTATACTTCTTCGCAACCCGCAGCGCAACCTGCACATGCGCAGCCTCACTCGCATTAACAGCATACGGCAAAAAGCTCTCTATCGAGCAGCCCTTTTTTCCTTGCATCCGAATCACTACCGATACTAGTTCCATTTGGATCAAGAACACAGCTACTATCCGTCCAGGTAAAGCCACCGGCACTTGCCGGGTCTGCTGCATGAATAGTTGAGGCTACCCAGTTGGATAAGACGGACTCACAAGCATTCATGCTTTATTTGGTTAGGAGGGATAGCAACGGAGGCTAGAAGGATAGTGCGGATTAGACGACCGGAGACGGTCTCGTCGAGGGCAGACCGTTTTTCAGTAGAAGGCCAGCAGGGGTCAGATGGCAACTTTAGATTTGATGAGATTAGCTTTGTTTATAGTGATTACGGGTTGGAAGAAGTACGCATTTGCAGTCCCATGTAGCGACGAGAATTAGCACTATTGTCCGCGTTTAGCATATCGGGAAATTCTCACGTACTGTGTATGTCTTTGAACCTACAACATGGTTGCTGCGACGCTGACAGCATACTCAAAATTGGACACTCCAGCTTCTTGATAGTTTATCTTATGCAGTGCCTTCTGCTTTTACAAATACGGGCATCTTCATTGTTTACGCAAAGAGCGAGATGTGTCGTATGTCCATGTTCTCTGACGACGTTGTTAACTTCCAAAAATTGAGTATCATATTATACTCATACAGCAAGCCCTGCGTGCCCATGTCAAAGAAGCTTAATGCAGGTACAAGCGGCCCCATAAGATGTCAATGTCAAGACTAACCCCCCACATACAATGCATTGGGTTCAACGTTTAACCATCCTTGAATGGCCCCATTAAAAGGAATCAAAATCATGCCCTTTACCCAATTAGGCAACAGTGGCACATCTTGCCGAGCAATTCTTTGTTGGGATGATTGTTTGAAGACTTGTATCCGGAGGATTGCAGCATAACACCACCATATCAGGAAATTAGTCCTATGCCCGCCATAACCGGCAAACGGTACGAGTACGAATCCGAACCCGAGTGGATATGTGGGGTGGGTTCGTACTCGTATTCTTTTCCAACCGAGGAACATTCATGAGTATCCAGGGTCTTGTCCGCGTATTTGAAAACATGCAAAATAACATGGACCCTGACGCTGGGTTTCAAAACCCTGCGATGTCAGTCAATATGGTTGAGGATAGTTCAGGCTTGTTACAACCAAAATGCGACTCCAGACTGCTTTGCTAGGCTCTATCGCCTGGGCCCAGGCTATTGTTCACGGCAATCCAACCCTCAGCCACCGAAATGATATTGTACCACCACAACCCGAGCCCATAACTATCACGGAGCTTCCACTGCCCCCGGTCGCTCCTAATACGAAGCCAGGCTCCTGCACCCACAATACAGGCTGCCTCGACCGGACCTCCTCCCAACAAAGCGGAAACTTTCTCCCAGATGGCAACCATGTCGTTATCAGCGCGAACTTCACTGGTGCCCCAGCATCTCCGAACCCAGCAAGCATTTATACCGGTATCCAATTGATTCTAGTTAAAACTGACAACACGACCTTCCCGAACGGCGACCCCTGGAAATGCGTTACCTGCGGGGTACCGAAGAACAATCGCGTGGGAAGTACCGAGTTGCTTTCGTATCCACAGGCATTCAATGATGGGAAGCGGGTGCTTGTGGAGGCAAACATCGTGAGCTGTGGGGATGAATTACTAACTAGTGAGGAATGCACCCCTGAAAAGGTCCATATCTATCCCATCCGATGGGACAACAAAGCCGATGGGTCAGGACCTGGCGGCACGATTCGGGAACTGCGCATTCATCCAGATAACTTACACATCGGCTTCAACTCCTTCGGAATCTTAAATGGGAAGATTGATGAGTACGGATACTTCAGTCGATTGCGATTCAACCCATCTCCGAAATCTGGTACCCCTCGTGTCCCTCGCTATGAGCTCGTTAACGTGACTGTCCTCTTCAACAAAGATACTTCACTACCATTTACCGTAAATGGCAGCGACCTCATCTTTAAGCCAGATACAATCACCGTCGGCGAATTCCGCGGCTTCACAGGCTCCGGTAAGGAAGTCACCTACGTCGGCAGCCCGGTTGAATCATGCAACATCGATCTCTTCGCCGCAGACCTAAAGACTGGCAAAGTACGCCGACTAACCAGCCACCCTGAATACACGGATCCCATTGACGTCTCTCCAGACGATAAATGGCAAGTCATCCTCGACACCCGCGAGACGGGCCGCCAGATGTTCCTGGCTGGACTACGCGGTATCCCCCCAGTCACAGACATGGCATCTGTAACTGTCACAGCATCAACGCGAAACAACGGCGCAAGACGTTTCTTCGAGCCCTGGCTTCTCGACCACGATGGTGATCGCGGGACGTATTTTGGGCAGAAGATTAATGCCGGTGGTGATGAGAGCCCGGGGAGTATTAACGATCCGAATTGGAATGCTGGTGCGGACCCGAGGTGGTCGCCTGACGGGACTCGGATCGTGTATTTTCAGAATCTTGTGCAGGAGCCTGCGTGCGGGGGAAGGAATCCGCTCCCGTGCCCGAAGTCGACGGAGCAGGGTGGTAGGACGAGTAGGGTTATGCTCGCACATTTGACAAGTCGGGAGCCTATCAAACAGCAGCATGTTGAGCCGGTTTCTGATGAGGTTCCTTGGGGTACACCGTATACACCCGGTGATGAGATGCCTAAGCGAACATACCCAGGTGCCGGTAATTACACTCTCAAGGGCAAGAACTCTGGCTCTGCGAGTGTATCTATTATCTACGGCACCAGTAACCTATCCATCATGACCGTCGGAGCTACATATCACGATTTCTCTGATGACGGATTGAGCTTCATCAGCGGTTCTGAGAAGGTCAAGTCTACACCGCTGTCTGTTACTTTGAACCGGGTAGATTGGTTTTCAGATATTGTGTCGACGGGTGAACAGAAGGGTACCAAAAAGACTGGTCCCGGAGGCTTTCATTTGGAGATTGATGCGATGACGAATATATTCAATGCGAATGGAACGCTGACGACGACGATTGATGGCGAGGTGTTTAAGCAGCCGGCCAATGGCACTTAAGTCTTGATGTCAGTACATAGCAAGTTGAGCCAATATGACAAACTCTGCACCAAAATAACTAAATAACTTCGCGTGTGGCTTCTCCAACTTCTCTATCCAAGAATTGGCAAGACTCATAATTTCACAGTGGATCCGTCCACTGCTTAAGAGAATGGGAGCCCGAGAGATAAAAATCAATGTCCCCATTATCCAATAAATCAAAATCTGCATTAATAACACTAGGCAACGATCCCATGCCACCGTACCCTAGAGGTCCTACACCCCTGCCCCATATTATTCGACCTGGAGCCAGCAGCCATAGATTCCAAGATCTCATGACATACCGCCACACTCCTACTAGCAGCGTCTATCGCAGCATTCCGAACCGACGAGCTATCAAGCATAGCATCCACCTGCGCCATAGCCATGCTGATAAAGACATAGCCCTTCACACTCGTCTCACTATAGCAAAACCTCTCATGCGCATACTGGACCACCTTCCGCGCAACTAGTAGTAGCAGCTCTCTACGAGCCCCGTTCCGTTTCCTGGTAAACATTGACCCGCCCGTATCGAGCTGCCACACGATATCCAGGAAGAGAAACAGAGCAGCACGAGTGATGATATCGCGGAACATGCCGCCTCCGCTGAGTAAGTGGCGATAGATATTGTCGTCGAGAAGGGTAATGATGTCGAGGGCGGCTTCGAGGCAAGCTTTTTGGGAATAGCTATAGAGGGGGTTTCGGTTTGCTTGGATTGCGTAGGGGTAGTGAAGGCAGAGGGCGGAACGGTGGAGACAGTGCTCAGCACAGATATATGCGAATTGGCTTGGTGGGTATGTTTCGCTGTCGTTGGTGGCTGATGTATATTGATCAAACGTCATCTCGGCGTTACGGCAGGCTAGGGCCAGTTCACTTCCCAAGCGGATGACTTGGTCGTAAGAAAATTCTCCATGCATGCTGTTAGTGAGCGCTGCAACCTGCAATCGTAGACGAATGGATGATGCCAGCAGGTGTTGGATTGACGTCTGAGTGGGTATAACATCTGCCTTCTTCGGAGGATCCCCCAGCATAGAATCACTAAGCTCGTCATCGTTCAGACTGGATGGCGGCTGGGTATTATAGTCATCAGCCGTGATCATGGGTGACATTCCCAGAGTCCAATGCTGCCTATACATTTATTTGGAGAACAGTATACCGCAACCACCTTCGCATCTCCTTCTGCAGAATGCCCATCACTCCTAGCAAGTCAGGATCTTGATGCAGCTCCATTTGCATGGCCATCCGTGTAAGCCAACCGGCTGAGATCCAAACCAGATCTGCTCCAACTCGATTCACCTGACGGGCCAGCAGAAGCAAGCAGTGTGTATGTATCCCGCCTAATGTTAGGCGGTCTTTCTCTAGGGGTCCAGAGGGCCATGTCTGACAAACGTGGATCCAACTTGGGACCTTATTGCGAAGCCCATTGCGTACTTCTTCATCAGGATGTAAGGTGGCGGTAGTCGACATGACTAACAGAAGTTCCACCATGAATGAAGATGGTGCAGTCTCTAGTGGCATGTGTATGGCTGTATGTTTCAACAATATATTATAATTATCATTATTAAATCAAGTTTATTGTCCATACCGAGCCCTAGAGCTATGATAGACCCTTATTCGTGGACTTGAGGCTGGTAGCTATTCTACAGTCTTTTATCCCCATAGGCTCCTGAGGCACTAGCCTCCTTCTATAATCTTTCTGATCCTTTTCCTCGCCCCAAACCACCTGTATGCGCAGGGCTTTCGAGCAGAGTGCTCTCCTTGTATTTTAGAGCAGGGTGTTTCAACAATATATTCAGTCGGATATTTGCAATTAGTTGAGCAAATGTAACCTACAATCTACTTATCACTATAGGTGTGAATACCACCGGTACTTATTGTCTTCCAAAAATGTTATGACACCCAAACATATTCTCAAAAAGGGTCATTATTATTCCAGTATTAATATAATATCCAAGTGAAGATAGCTCATCCTTATCTCATAACACAATATCCAAATTCATAGCTGCCCACAGGCTGTCCCATACCCATAACACATATCATATCATCAAATCCACACCTTAAACAAAAGAAACCCCTTACTCCGCCTTCCTTCCTTGCCTCCCCTTCTCACTCCAAGGGAAATGCAACACAGGCACAACAAAGAAACTATTAGTATTATCGGCCAACCCGGCAAACGCATTATACCACGCCAAAAACGCCCCCAGTAGCGCAAAGAAACCACCTGATTTCTGCAGTTGCGCGTGCGGCATGCCCGCAGGATCGCGGATCATGTAGGCGAGTGCGAGGAGGAGGACGGCGATGTCGACAAAAAAGAATAGGGAGAAGAAAGCGAGGGTGGAGCGGAGGGTTAAGAAGGTTATTATTGTTGTGAAGATGAACCAGCCCTGCTGTCGTGTTAGTAATTGGCTTGGTGGTTGAGGGAGAGTTGAGTAGGAAAAAAGGGACTTACCCAGAGGAATAAGGAGAAAGAGTCGTAGAACATTGTGGTTGTGCCTCCACCTGCTTCCTCAAGCGCGGGCATGATTTCGAATCCACCGGGGATAAAGATGATCGCGATGGAGATCCAGAATCCACCATAGGATGAGAGCACAGTCGCACCGAATGTATTTCCAATAGCCATTTCCCTGAGTATCTTTATCAGTTCCTGAACGTCCATATATACTTCATTCTCAGAACATACCACATTCCAGCACAAAGCTGCACCAACCCCCCATATGCCAACGCCGGCGCAACAACAATATTCGGCAATAAAATATCCTTCACCTGCATCTGGATCAACCCCAGAAGGAAAGTAGTAAGCGCGAAACCACAAAGCCCTAACGGCCCAGGATTCGCGACTTTCCGGTCAGTGGGAGGTTTATAGAGACCGGGCTGCAGTTCACCACCAAATGCAGGGAGACGGGTGGAGGCGGTGTTGACGTGGGCTAGAGGACCGTAGCGGCCGTAGTCATGGGTTGAGGAGGCCGTTTCTTGGTGGGAGAGGTTAGGGGAGCCATTGTTGTGTTGGCTGCTGATTGTGTTTTGCTTCTCGAGGTCGGCGTCCGCCATTATGAAGGGCTTAGTTCAGGAGTAGAGAGAAGAATGTGAAAGGAGAAGACGTGGTAAAGTATGCAGCATGAGAGTGCAGGAGAGAGCTGGGGTGGTCACGATACCAGATGGGGCACCCCTATATATAGCTTTCTGGAGCTGTCATTGAGGATCCTTTCTGCGAGCCATATTCCAGCGTACAGAGCGGCTACGCGACACAATATCCGCGGAAGAGAAGACCAACCGTGTTTTATATCCGCGGCTACTTCCTCCTCCAAGCTTATCTTAACCATAATTCTGAACCGACAGGCACCAAGCGCACAATTGAGTTTGTTGAGGTCATTGTCGAGCTGTGCTGGAAACAATAGCACAAAACTCTGTGTGGCTGCGTAGCTACAATCCCAGAATGGATAACGGGATCTCCCCACAAAGACGCAACGACCAAAAAGGGGAAAGGCGGGGGCGGGTCCATGGGGTAAACGAAAACGCGGAGTGAAGAATATCAGTCTTGGTTCGGGGCTGTCATTGGCCAGGGACGAGCGGAAGAGTCCAGGATTTTGGATAGAGCTTGGAGGCTAAGCTTATTTTATGGGGCGGGACCCTCATGGCGGGCCAGAAAGGTCGGTAGTTGGATAGGGGTTAAGCATAATAGGTTCAATGGAGAGATCTGAACATAGACTTTGCGTATAACTTGCAGGATAGCGCTGGAGGCGCTTAAGCGAGCGTGACAGGGAGATTAATTCTACCTTGGCTCTGTGTGTTGCTCCGTTTCTTCCCGAGTTTGGAGGATTTTCCGTGAATCAGACATCAGAATCCTTGGCCAGGAGGCAAAGTCTCCAATGTCTTACCGTGTCAGAGCACAGTTATGGAGTATTGTGGAGTACGGGGGGCCGGTACCCCATTCGTCCGGAGATCCTTAGATATGGTTTTAGGTTGAGATACACTGTCTCCCTTAACCTTTGATGGCTTTACGCGGAATAACCATTGACTAGCTAGAACCTTGAATTGACTCACGGCTTAATTTCGGTCGCCAACATACCCCGGCTAGTTCACCCTGCACCTGGGGTCCAACATGGCACTTTGTGGACTTGGACAGGATCCGGAGCAGTTCAACGTAATGGGGCTACATATGATGGCGACAAACAGCAGGTCACGCATTCATGACACAACCATGGTTGATCTAATGCAGTTCCAAATAAGCTAAGGAATGCCAAGACCCAAGCCCTGCCTATTCTGGAGATATACTGTTGATCTCCCCCGCGTTGTACATGATTGGCAGAGATCAGAGGCAATTACTCCGGAATGGTATCAAGGAACTGGGTCTGTGAGGTCATGTAATTGGTGATGGGTTGTTGGTGGTAGAGAGAGTAGACTAACTTGGTACAAGTTCCAGCAAGAGTCAAGCTACTCTGTAAACACTTCTTGTACGTATTAACCTCGGCAAAAGATTAAACATAAAGCGTACTATACAGTGCCTACTGCAATATATTGTACTTATACTTGTTTATACTCGTACATGTACAACTGTCGCTTAACCCCCCTTAACCAAATAAGGTTAGCTCCCTCACCCGGCGGCAACATATAAACCGCGAGACCCGCCACTTTTCCCTTCCTCCCCCCCTCCACATTCACATCCACTACTGAACACGATCTGCTAATGTGCGGATTCTTGATCCCATGTAGTATATGTGAACACTCGTAGGTACTATACCCCAGACCCGAAGAGTCCCTCGTGTATATCGACGAGCGGGTGTCGGTAACTGTGTGCCTCTTAGTACCAAAACCAAACCACATGGAAATCGATAGAGTGTTGCATGCTTCCACTGCCATTGGTCAAGTGTAGCACGGTAACTGGTCTCCAACATTGGTAGACAGTTGCTTTTGCTTTAGGCTGATTGGCTGGCAAATCGAGCATGTGTTTTGTCTTGGCATTTGGTACACTTAACCACGCCGTACATGCTTGGTTATGCGCTATAAGCAGTTACAGTCTTCTCATGACAAGCCATAGGAATATCCTACTTGGATATCAACTAGCACCTGTCTTCCTGGTGCGTACGGAGTACAGACTACTCCGTCGTCTAACGACCATCATGTCGACAATTCTCAGTGAATGCCTAGCAGTACCAACTCCACAGCAGACGTCAAATGGAGTATCGATACTATTTATCTACTCACCAGAAGGACAGGTTCTATAGCCCCTCAGTGCGCTGAAGGCTAAATGCTTGGCTCTCGAAAGTGATTATCGTTGAATCAGGTCACATCCACAAGACGTCTTTCAAAGTGAACTATAATGCAGATGCGGCGCGGAGGAGATTGGATATATACGCAGACCCTAAACGTTGTTTGCCGATTTAATGGAATTACAGTCCATCACTTTTGCTCAGAGCCCGCGGCAGCATTCCTGTCGCGTTTCCCGTTGAAGGAGCAACTTGAATATATAAATCGACACATGCAACCTCCAGAGAGCGGGCATCCAACAGGGGAAACCCGATATTGGTATACTAGAAAATCAGTTTCGACTATGGACCAAACAAGTCTTGGTACCAACCCATGCCACAGTAGAAACATTTTCTATGGCTGGGTTATTTAGTGCTTGGAACGGAACCTTAGCAGTTTAACTAGGCATGCTGTAAGCAACCGACTGCCCTACGATGGTTCCCAATAAATGCCTGGCGCGCAACACCACCCCCATAGTGGACGTTAAATGGGTTATCCACAACCCTTGCACACCAGATGATAGATAGACCTCGCCCAGACCCTCATGAGGGTCCAAAGGTTGGACCCTCCACCCGACCCTCGCGAGGGGCGGGTATAACACTCGCGACCCTCACCCGACCCTCGACCCTCGCCAGACCTCGTGTGGGTGACCCTCAAGGACCCTCGTCGACCCTCATTTTCATAAAAATTCCCACGCTTTACCCGATTTGGATGCATAAAAATGATGATTAATCTTAATACAGACCTGTTATTTACACCGTAACACATTACTCCTGTTCTGCTACTTCGGATGATAGGTATTGTATGAGCCCTAGAATCAATTCACATAATAGCTTCCTACAAAATCTCTCTGATTTATATTACTTCTGATCAAAATTTTTAAGATTATATTAATTATAAGTGATAATATGTAAGTTACCATTACATAGTCAATATACATTAGTCCTTGGATATAGTATTATGATAGCTAGTTCCTGTAGAAGGAATGTACTCGATGAACATCTAAACTAGGAAAAAGAGAAGAGGACATTACTTCATTCAAAGGTATTTATCTTGAAGAGCCACGTGAAGGTATAAATAATGCAAAGTAAACAAATAGCTTCCTGAGTGATTCTGCCGAAAA